CTCTCTCTCTCTCTCTCTCCCCATGGTGCAGGACAGTTGAAGCCATCATCACGAGGCGGCCGGTGTACGAGTTCGCTTCGCGATGTTAGGACTGGACTACTCCGGCCAATGCGCCCCGAGTGATCTCAAGTGTCAGCCCGCTACCAGTGCACGATTCTCTATCCTGAAACAGCCACAACAGATTCGAACGCTTGGTATAGCTTGAGGTGAGAAGGAAGTCGGCAACGCTGCTTTGCGATTGGCCGATCATGCTTTCGCCGCTGGGGAAGGAAAACCGAGCTGCACTTTTTCGCATGATGGGGTGTGTCTGTAACCTCAGGCATCACTACGGAACATTGCCGCGCACTCCTCCGACAGACGACAGCAGATTCTCGCCCTCGGCGGGGAGCAGGCAAAGCTCTTTCAAAGCAGCAAGCAGTGCACACGAGTCGATGGAAGGACGCTTAAGTCGCTGCTGCGAACATTTGTGCCAGGTCGGTGTCGAAGTGCTGGGCTTATGCTTCTGCGATGTTCTGACCGGAAGACGTAGTGCATGCCCTATCCTTTTGTAACGAGCGGTTTGCTGCTCGGTCAGCCGCTTGGTTCTCGAACTGCAGATGCAGAACCCGTCGCCCCGCCCCATGTTGTGCGTGTTCTCCCAGGCTCTCGCGCTGTTCCGTGGGCGCGATTCAGGGCCCAGTCGCTCTGTCGCGGCATTCCTGCGCAACCTTTCAGAAGGCCACCATGGTCGGATCTGACAAAACGATGCTCGGAATGTCGGGTTACCCCCCACTCTTGTTTGACATGCTTCCGCGATGCGTTGTCCTGTCGGGGCAGGTTCGGACGGTGGCTTGGCCGAATCAATCCATCAATTGTGTATGACGCAGTTTCGCCTACTGCACCACTTCAGAAGAGCGTTGGTTTGAGTGGCCGGTGCTACAGGTGTGGTGCCTTTGGCCAGCGCGGGCTTCCTTCAGCTGGCAGAGGTTGATTGCGTTGCTCTGCCATGCCGTGTGTTGCGGAGCTGCTCGTTGAATTTGGACCCTCTTCGGCAGGAAGAATTGGATGACAATCTTGGGGGACCTCAGGTTCGGCGCCACATCCTCGCCAAAGTCCCAGCAAAGATCTTTGGCACTCTCTCATGTTTCCTGTTATCCACTTTTTGCCGCCATTCGGCGGAGGCTGCATTGCAGAACATGGCGGCACAAGTGGGACAAAGCAACTTGGCATCTCAGACTTTTCTGAATTTCAAGTCGAGTGGGGCAAAGCTACGAAGGCCAGAAACTCAAATGCCATGAGAACCTCCGAACACGGAGAGAGAGTCTTCAGACTAGTTGGACAACTCTCGAGTAAGTTATTCGGGTGAGTGTTCGAAGGAGCGTCGCGACGGCAACATCGTAAGATCTTTGAGACGCATCGTTTTTGACAGACAAGCAGCAGCACTTTATTGCAAACGATTGGTATTGTGTGCCTCGGTTCGGTCACGGGTAAAGAGAGGTGAAAAAGTAGTCTTTGCACCAGGCCAAGTAGCAAGTTCAGAGCGTAGGCACGGAGGAGCCGGGGGGGGGGGGGGGGGGG